CCGATTTGTTCTTCACACTCCTTAATTAAAATTATATCTCATCCCATGTAAATTTCCAATTCCTTAGTAAGTTTCTTATGTCAGTAAATTCTTTTTTTTTTTGACTTTCAATATGTCAGTAAATTCTTAGAAACAATTAAGAAAGTAATCTGGCAAACTAGTCCATGACTGCTTGCTGACTTGTCGCATTTCTGTGAAATACTTGTACGTAAGAAGAGATATCCCTGGCCCCAAATCTATAAGAGAATTTCAAGCAACGTGGTGTCAATGCAGAGGAGGTATTTACTGAAGTGGCAGTCACCTTGCCACCTTACATATAAAACCCTGTCTCCCTCCATGGGTATAATACTGGTCTAATTTTAATAATTCCATAACATTATTTTGCTATACTTTTTCTGCTTTCTTTTGTCTTATATTTTTATTCTAGAAATGAGAGTAATCAAAAGAAGATGGTTTTATTTTCTGATTTCTATGAACTAACTAAAGGATAAAATTAACATAATCGCTGGGATGTTATGGACGCAGGAGTTAAACTTTCTAAAGCACATATTCCTTATTAAATATAGATAGATAGATAGATAGATATAGAGAGATAGATAGATAATGCCATTTATTTATTTCTTTCATGAATGGAAGAGTCAAGAGAGAGGGGTAGGGGAGAGAGAAAGGTACAGCACTCCTGCCAGGATCTTGCTGCTTTAATCCACCCCCAGCTTCTGGTAGCCCTGGATGATGGGCACAAGCATGCCTGTGTACTCTGCAAGGTCTGTAGATCAAGATGGTAAACTTCCATGTGGGCCTACTGCATTGAGCATGTGTTTTATCACTGTACTTCCGTTCATTGCCCCCTTTTTCAAAGTTTATTTATTTATTGCCATTTATTAATACTAATAATGTGTTCTGGCTTCAAAGTTTAAGCTGTTTGGAAGATATGGAATCATTATATCTATTTAATAGTTAACCTATTATTTACATTTTAAGAAAAGCAAACTAAACCTAGAGAAAAAGGGACAACACAAGTTTCTGGATCCATTATCAATATATAAATGATTCAAGATTTGGAGTTGCCTCAGCCAGCTATCTCTGCATCTTAATGCATGAACATTGGGAATAAATCATATAAGAAATAAAAAAAAAGACCAAAAATAAATAAAAAGGAGGGACCAGCAGGTGGCATAATGGTTATGTTGCTGGACTCCCACATAGTTGACTGTGGTTCAACTCCTGGACTTGGAAGCTTAAATCTCACACCAGGAGCATACGCATGTACATACATGCCCAAGATTCTGAGAGGACAATGGAGGAGAAGGGATTGTAGCATGGCTATCTCCTCCTGTGGAGTGATTTCTTGTTTTCTGTCTCTCTGTCTCTGTCTCTCCAGGGAGCACATGCTCCCTATAGCAAAAAAACTCTCTAAATAAATAAACTTTAAAAAATAAAATAAAAAATAAAAAGCAAAAACTAAAAATATAAAATACCCCCCCAAAACTAAAAACAATAGTTGTTTGTAAGGTCTTATATTTATTTATTTATTTTTTCAAGAGCTGTAATTCATTTAACATATGACCATGTAGCTATGCTTAATTTAATGCAGAGAGTATGCTTATGGATTACTTTTACTTTTTCTGCGATGCTGCTCTGAACACAGTGGAATATTTTAAAATTATGGAGAGTATCTGTTGGACATCATGAAAATTACCAGCCTGACGTAGGTAGATGTCACGATTTGAGCCCACTGTTTTCTTTTTCTTTCTTTTTTTTTTTTTTTTTTGGAGAGGTTTTCGCTATAGGGCGCGTGCGCTTGCCAGACAGACAGAGAGAGACATAGAGACAGAAAGCGAGAAATCACCCCCCAGGGGGGATGGTCATGCCGCAATCCCTTCTCCTCCATTTTCCTCTCGGGATCTTGGGCACGCATGCATATGCACCCGGCGTGAGTTTTAAGCCATTGGGTCTGGGACGCAACCCCCGGTTGACTATGTGGGAGTCCAGAGACATAGCCATTATGCTAACTGCTGGTTCCCACCACTGCTTTCTTAACAACTACATCATACCATTGTGAGATTGGTTTTGGCAAAATTGCTGTGTTAAAAAACTGTACTGCGCGAAGACCAGGGAGATTAGGGGTGGGGGTAAGAGTGGTTACTGCTCAATCTGATTCCATGGTTTGAGAAGCTGGGCAGTGCCTATAAAATGCATTGATATGTAATTATATTTATTAACAATAAAAATAATATGTTGTTATTTCATCTCATGTATATAATTTTTTTTCCAAAGGCTACTGAAATATTACAATGAATGCACTTATAAACCCATTTGAAACCCAACTACTTAACAAATGGGCTTGTCTTAGTTATTTCTCTGGGCTTCACAGTGCCATGAAAAATAACTGACACAGTGAGTATGCCATGACGGACAGTTTTGGAGACCAAGTACCTACTGCAAAAAACCATGCAAAACTAGTAAGTATTTAGTTAAATCACTGACTTAAACCCTGACTTGGAAGAAATTATTCAGACTTTAAAGGTAAAATGAAGAAATATCAGTCAGAATTTCAGAGACAAAAGTCCTTCAGTAAAAAGTTTTGAAGACAAAAATTCATGTTGAATTAAACAAATTAGTAATTTTAAAAAGTCATGTCTCTATGTATTTTATTACCAAGATGATTGCAGTTCTGTTAGTTGCTTATCTTACAATTATATTCAGCAAAAAAAGAGATATAATTTGGAACCCCAAATTAATTAAAATATTTTGAGATTTCCAGTGCATCAATGAAAATTACTTAAATTGTAAAAAATAACTCTATTCATAATTATGTAGCTTAAACATTAATGTAAATATTTTAGATTCATACTTAAATTTACTCAGTAGCAGTTAGAGCATTATTGATGAATTAATAATTACTTATGAATAATCATTTAAGTGTTTAATATATGTATTCTAAACAACCAAATGTATAATTACCCTAACTATAATATATTCTATTGAATTAATACATTTTATTATTATATAGTCTTAGGCCTAATGAAACACAAAGAAGTTAAAATTATTATTCTCTAAATTATCTGAGGAATATTATACATTTGGACATATTATGTTACCTGGCTCATGGTAGATAAGTCTTAGGCTATCACTAAATATTTTTATAAATATAAACTTTTTTTAACATTGTAGGATATAGAGAAAAAATAAAAGGAAGTACTGCCTTTTATGCAGACTACATATTGAAGAGTCAAGAAATGTCATTAAATTTATTTATTCATTTTTTTCATTCAGAAAAACATGTTTCAAGGAACTCTGTATCTCCTAAGTGTTGAAGATAACTATTCCATAGAGAAGACTAAGTAATAATTCCTCTTTATAAGAGTGTAGTACCCAGGGACCAGCAGTTAGCGTAATGGCTATGTCGCTGGACTCCCACGCAGTTAACTGCGGTTCACGTCCCAGACCCGGTGGCTTAAACTCACGCCGGGCACGTGTGCGTGCGTGCCCAAGATCCTGAGAGGAGAATGGAGGAGAAGGGATTGCGGCGTGGCTATCCTGCCAGGGGGGCGATTTCTCGCTTTCTGTCTCTCTGTCTCTGTCTGTCTGGTGAGCACACGCACCCTATAGCAAAAACCTCTCCAAAAAAAAAAAGAAAAAATAAAAGAGTGTAGTATCTATAGACTATTTATGTATTTTTAGTGCCAGAGGGCATGTGGCAGGGAGAGACAGAGAGAAAAAAAAGCACACCCCAGTGTGGTATGGTCACACTGCAATGCCCTCTCCAATTACTCTATCCTGTTGGGATATGAGACATGCACACACACACACATGGCCAGCACTTTTCGCAAGCCCGTGGGCTGAGACTTGAACTGTGGTCAGTCATGTGAGCTCTGACTCCCTTACCCATTAGGCTATGAAGGTGGCCCATAATTTTTAAATGAAGGATGTATGCATAGTGATGAACAGTAGTTCGGTGATAAAACATGTCACTCTATAAGGCCGACCCATGTGGGAAGTTTCCAGGTTTGTGTCCAGAGACCTCTCTGAGTACTCTGGGCATGCTTATGTCTATAACTCAAGGCTGGCTGGCAGCTGGGGGAGAGGAATTAAAGATATCAAGACCCTGTTGAGGGTTCTTTCTATATATACCTTTTATTCATAGAAGACATAAATAAATAAGCTTAAAATAAGAATGTGGGGCTGGTGCCATTGTCTGATGGTTAAGACAGCCAGATCCCACAGGGCCAACCATGCAGTTCAAGTCCCAGAGTCAGCAGCTTGAGAAAGATGCCAGGTCTGTGTGCATGCCCAAAATCCTGAAAGGAGAGAATGATAAAGAGAGGGATTTCAGTTTGTGCATTCCCCATGAGGAGTGCTTTCTCTTCTCCCTTTGTTTTTGTCTCTCTGGGAAGCACACAGGACCTCTAGCAAAAACAAACAAACAAACAAACAAACAAAAAAACCAAAAACCAAACAAACAAAAGCATAAACATTATATATACATATATATGTGTGTGTGTGTGTATATATATATATATATATATAAATAATCAGATCTGATTAGTGTAACTACCAATAGATTTGAGTAATCTCCATCTGAGCACTGTCCAACAGAATACATTGTGAGCTGCATGGATAATTTTAAATATCCTGCTATTCATTTTAAAAATGTAAATATACACCAATATAATTAATTTTAATAATATATATTGTTTAATTCAATTTATCAAAAATACTGACATCTCACCATAAAATCAATACAAAAACTGTAAGGGTGTATTTTACATTCTTTTCTTCATATTAAGTTAAGTCATTAAAATTTCAGAAGTAATTCACATACACAGCACATCTCCTTTAGGACTACCTGAATTTCAAGGGTGCAATTGCCACATGTGGTCAGCAGCTACTCTATCAGACAGTGCAGCTTAGTAAGTCTGCATTTTAGCAAAAATATTGTTAAACTACATAAGCCTACATTCTTGAGATAGAAAAGGGTTACTGCCTATCATAAAACCTTTGGTATCATTTCCTTAATGTTTGTCCTGTTTTCATCTTCTAATAATTTCTACAAAAGTCAGTACATTAAAATAAATCAATTTTGTACTTCCTAATATTACAGAGACTTCTGAGTGACTGCTGATATTTTAATTCACAAATATTAATTAATTTTGTTACTGTTCAGCTCAAGCCACTCAAATACAATATATGCTTAGGAGGCTGAAGAGAAAAATTTAAAAATGGTTCTTGGTTCTTAAGGAACTTGCAGATTAATTTGGAAGGTAAAACAAGCTGCCAAGTAATTACACACATCTGTACTAGATATATGAAAAACCTAAGAATACAAAAACATATAAGCAACATTGTATGAGATAATAATTGCTAAATTGTCTGAATACTTTCCAATTATATTTATGTAATATGGAAACATCCCAAACCAGAAATTATTATTAATTATATTGGTAATTTAGTTGATTAATTTACAAATTATTTTAAAACAATTATTAAAACTTCCATAAGGATATTCTTCAAAATAATATATCATTGCATATGGTAAAATGAAGCCATGTTAAAATATATTTTGACATTTAATTCTGTCTTCAAAATTACTTTGTTAGTGGAGCTTTGCTATATTTACTTTGAAAAAAGTCATTTTATGATGTAGTGACTAAGGTCACCCTACCTTTTATGTTTGCTTCTGGATAATAAGGATTTTTGGTGACAATCCTATATTTTTATACTTAGTAACACAAACTTTGTTTTCTGATATCCAATCCCTTTACCCAAGCATAGCCTGTTCCTCCCATACATCTCACTCCATAAAGACAAACCTTTATTTAAGATTAGACAAAAGAATACATTTCCTGTGTATTTATCAACCATAAGAACAGTTTCTCTATTAAGAATCAAGTCTATGAGAGATAAATTACAAATTATCTACATTTGTTGTCTGCTTTTATAAGATTAAAAATAAATTTTACATCTCACTCCTAATACACTTGCAAAGAAAAGTGTTTTTTTGTTGCCATAGATTGTGAAGAAATGAGAAATCACAAGGTCAACACTTTGGAGAGCAGTATTTTATTTCCTGTCTCCTGCTCAGAATAAAGAACTAGAAAGTAAGCAAGTCAGAGGTCACACGGAGCACTTCTCACCTTGCTGCTGCTGTGCTTCTTCTTGCTCACCGAGGGTGACCCTGGCTGCCCAGGGCTGGGAACTGAACTGGATCCTGCTGATGCTGGACCTGAATGAGCATGGGATCCTTTTTCTACCACTGATGACAGAACCAGTGGTGACTGCTGCAGCGAGACCTTCTGGAGCTCCGCTGCCAGCTGCTTAGGATCCACCCCTGGGGATTTTGCTTTATCCACTACAACAAAATAAAACGACTTACATTCTTCTCTGATTCAAAGGTACCTAATACCATGGAACTTATTTGAGTTCTAGGTGACAAAGGCAAAATATTACTCACGAAGTAAGCTAAACTTTTAAAATTAATTGTACCTTTATGTATATATTTTGAATGAGGAAGTTTAACATTTCTAACATCTATTTAATTCTCAAAAGTTTTGAGAATTAAATACTTTTTTTATTTTGAGAGATTTTTGCTATAGGTGTGTGTGTTCGCCAGAAAGACAGAGAGATACAGAGAGACATAAAGCAAGAAATCAGCCCCCAGGGGGATGGCCACGCCACAGTCCCTTCTCCTCCATTCTCTCCTAGGGATCTTGGGCATGCATGCACATGTGCCCACCATGAGTTTAAGCCACCGGGTCTGGGATTCGAACCACGGTCGACTATATGGGATTCCAGCGATGTAGCCATTATGCCCGTCATCTGCTGATACTGAGAATTAAATACTTTTTATATATACATATCTAAGGAACTCTAGGAAGCTTAGAGAAGTGTGACATAATGTTGAATTACAGAGGGAAATTGAAGTTTGTATTACATCTTCAGAAAAACATTTTTAATGCTTTATGCAGGGAACCATATAAATGATACATTATCCTGTTTTTGCCACTGTAACTTTTTTTGTATAATTAATTGTTTTTCCTTCTCTAAATATTTCATATCATTTTCTCCTAGGAGGAAATTTTAAAGAGTATATTTACATTTATAGATGTATAAATGGCATAATACCCCAGACTCCTAGTATTGTGGCTATAAGCATAGGAAATATTTATTAACAATGTAGTAAGCAAAGGAAAAAATGATTCTTTTTTTGCCATTATTATTTTAATGTCAACAACTTGATTTATGTAGATCTTCAACAGAAAAGAAAGGGAATCAGGGACCAGCTGAAGGAGTAATGGTCACGTCACTGGACTCCCACATAGTTAAGCCATTGTTCCAGTCTTGGACCCTGAGGCTTCAAACTCTAGTTGGGCGCATGTACATGTGTGCCCAAGATTCAGAGAGTCGAATAGAGGAGAAGGATTGTGGTGTGGCCATCCCCCCTGGGTGGTTGATTTCTTGCTTTCTGACTCTCTGTATCTCTCTGTCTCTCCTGTGAGTGCACATGCCCTATAGCAAAAATTTCTCTTAAAAAAAGAGAAGAAAGGGAATCTAATTGGTAACAAACATTTACAAATCTTGAATTTTATCTTCATATATTATAAAAAGGCAACCAAAAAAGTTTAGAAACAGGATTTCAAAATTCAGTTATGCTAAAAAGAATAACAATTTCTTTAAGACCAAAAAGAAAGGGCTCCGTGGATTGCATGGATTTCACAGGATGAATTTATATTTAAATAATTAAAAATGTGAAATGTTGGGGGCCAGAAGATGGCATAATAGTTACGTTGCTGGACTACCACATAGTAGACTGCAGTGGAGTCCTAGACCCAGCAGTTTAAACTCACGCCAGGCGTGCGTGCATTCATGCCCAAGGTCTGGAGAGGAGAATGGAGAAGGGATTGAGGCGTGGCCATCCCCCCTGGGGAGTGATTTCTTGCTTTCTGTCTTTCTGTCTTTCTGGCAACCGCATGTGCCCTATAGCAAAAACCTCTCTTTAAAAAAAAATGTGAAATGTGAACTCACACAGTAAGTATTTCAGATGAACTTTTATAAAGGGCTTAAGATGCAAATATGTGCTTCTCCATAATGCGAAAAATGCAATGATTTTGATTTTGCTTACAAATATAATCTATTTACAACTTTATCTTCATATCTATGTATATGTTTATGTCTCATCTGTGACTACATCTGCCACACAAACACATCTACATCTACATCTTTATCCGTGACTGAAGGCAGATTGCTTTCACCTACCAGCTTTTGGTGGTTCATGGAGTTCTAGGTGCTGGGGATTTTCGGAGTCTGATAGCATATTGAGGTCCCTAAAAATTAGAATAAAACATTAAGAAAGAAACTGAGGAAACCTAAGACAAAAGGAACTTTTTTTCCAACTACCCTGAGGTTTATTTATTTATTTTTTCCGGTAGGTAAATGAGACGTGGTTAATGATATAAAGCAACTCCAAAGCATGCTCACCCTTCTAACCCAAGATATTTCGCAATGCTGTTAAAAGTCAGAGCTGATAAAAATGATTATTTAAGGTGAAATCTTTATGGATTAAATGTAAGTTCATTTTGAAATACTATACACATCCATGAAATCTAAATGGGTTCAAGTTTTCCTTTAAATGAAGTAGGTTTTAATAAACGCATGGAAGGGGAAAGCTTTTAACATAATCAGAAACTAAATTAGCTGAATTCTTTCTATGCTTTAGACTTTGTTGATTCTGAACACAAGAAATCTAAAAAAACTTGTATTCACTTTATTTTCTATTTACAGAATATCTTGCTGACTGGCAAAGGTTCCACCTTAACAATTTTAAATTAAAAGAGTCATGAATAGCCAAAAAATGGAAACAGAAAGATGGGGAAAAACTCACAGTCTTACACATATTTCTGCTTCCCCACTTTGCTGACTAATGATACTCTGCACTTCTTCATATGTTTTAGAAGTTAAGGGAATTCCATTCCATTCCAATACTTGCATCCCTAAAAAGACAAATTCAAGTTTAAACTCAAACATGCATGCTGTCTCTAGTCTGAGTCCATAGGGAATAGAAGACATTTTGTTGTACTTGAAAACCAACTCAGCACACCATTTCAGAGAACATCATTTCAAAGTTCTCTGGATCATTAATACTAAAACCATTGTTTAGTTTTATCTCATCAACTTACCTGAACCCATAAAACACATTTAGGACAACATGCAAAATTTTGCTTTCGAAACTCTATTAAATGTTAGCAAAAGCATGCATTCTGTCCACACTGCTATAAAGAAAACATCATTGAATAAAAATTCCTCAGATGAATCTTGTATAGGCAACAAAACCAAACCAAACCAAAAACTCACAAACAATTGCAGTTACCAATATAACTTTCCCACGGGGAGCAAGCTACTAGAAGGATGTAAACGTCTATATTCTGTCATGGAATGGGAGTGCTAGAAAAAAAGCCCTTAGGAGTTCCTTGTCAAGTGCCTCTCCAGAAAGTATATTTTTGATTTTGCCCAGATAAAACAGATTGCCACTTTCTTTTTCTTCACTGCACGTATGCCAGACATCCCTGAATAGAATACAGAATGGGTAGCTGAATGGGCATGTGACCTGTGCAGTAGAAAAAGACCCTGTGTGCAGACAGGCCCCATGCTTGGTTTAATGCTTTGCAGTTGCTACCTTGAAATTTTTAATAACATTTGAACAAACAACCCTGCATTTTCATTTTGTACTGGGTCCTGCAAATTATGTAACTGACCCCAGTTCCACAAATTACGTAACTGAGCTAAACTGACCAGGACGTTTCATTTTTCTTTTCTATCTAGAAAAATAATTCCATACAAAAAAGTATTAATGATTAATATTTCAAGGCTTTACATCTAATCTCTTTGCTATGAAGGTCCAGGTTACATGACATGTCAAAATACTTTAGAATTGTGTATTTGGCATGACTCATGTCCTAGTATGTGGCTGTGTGAATTAGATATAAATTAGGTGAAAATATACAATATGTTATACCCAAATACTTGCGAATGCTGCCAGCTTTACCCAAGGAGAGTGTCAATGGATCATAAATATAAGTAAATAAAAGAAATGACCGTTGAAAAATCATGTTGTCAATGAACTGAGAAATATTCACGTAAAATTCCTTATTATGTATCATAGGTGTCAGTGAGAAATTTCAAACATGGCATTCTAGTATCCTTAAAATATTTAATAATATGATATGCATTGGAAAGCATATGACCAGTTGCAATCAACAGAAATGTTTTTACATTACAGTTAAATGGCAGAGAAAGTCTATAGAAAAGACTCACAAAAGCACAAACAAGACTTGTCTGCAACTTACTCCAAGAAAACTTTATCTTCAGATGGGCCTTAGGTTTATTTCAACAATCCCAGGCTGTTATACACATAAAATGAGAAAATCATGTAAAAGACAATGACAATACTACTAAAAAAATTAATAAAATAGCACACTGATAGCACACTGAAAGAGCAAAACAAAGCACCTTTTTGTGGTAAATCAGGAGAAAGATTACGTTTATGAGCAGATGACAGAATTAAAACAAATTAATGCTGTCATTCAGAAATGGAATGGCCTTATTTCTACAGAAGCATATTCCACGAAGAAAAAATAGTCGCATATCTTCATGCTTTTCCAGTTTATTTTATATCTTAAAATAAAAGGGCAAATTTATAAAACATAGTTATCCAGTGAAATGAAAAAAGGTTTCTAGTCACAAAAAAGGAAAACTATTGAGTATTGTTAATTAAATTGCTAAAAAATTTATACCGGTAACCAGAAGTTTGCTCATATATACACCTGAGGTCATGAACTACATGATCTGCTCACTCCCACCACAGACTAACAACATTTTACCCCTCTCTCAGTTTCCTACCAGGGTTAATGCAATGCTGCAGTTCCCTTAATTCTGCCAGTTCTTTTACAATGGCATGGTTCTGCTGTGAAACACTGTAGGGAAGATGATTTGTAAACACAATAGTTTATTATTATTATTTTATTTGTGCTCAGTAGAGAGACAGAGAGACACAGTGAAAGAAAGTCCACCTCAAGGGTGCTTGCTCATGCTGCAGTCCCTTCTCCATTTCACTATATCATCTCTATTTGGGCATGTGTACACACAAGTTTTTCAAGTCGCTGGGTCTGGAACTTGAACTGTGTGGTCAGTCCTAAGGGATCCGGCTCCCTTACCACTAGGGCATGGGCCAGCTCTGAACACAATCATTTAATAATATTTTCTGGGACCAGCAGTTAGCGTAATGGGTATGTTGCTGGACTCCTACTTAGTTGACCGTGGTTTGTATCCCGGACCTGGTGGCTTAAACTCACACTGGGCGTGTGTGCATCCATGCCCGAGAGCCTGAGAGGAGAATGGAGGAGAAGGAATTCCAGTGTGGCTATCCCCCCTGTGGGGTGATTTCTTGCTTTCTATCTCTCTGTCTCTGTCTGTCTGACTGTCTGGTGAGTGCACGCACCGTATAGCAAAAACCTCTCCCCCCCAAAAAAAATAATAATATTTTCCCTTTCCATTGTCTCTCTAACTTCCTAGAGGTCCTCCAAGAACAACACTACAATAATGAATGAAATAAATTATTCTTATGTATTCATAAGATAGCTGTAGTAGTTAAATTCTACGTGACTTCAAGATTATATATTTAAAATACATGTGTTAATTGGAAATCCTATAAACTATTTTCAAATGTGCAAATGTAAAATGTGTGCAAAAAGGGGGAACTTAACTTCATCTAGAGGGATAATATGTGCTGAACAGTTGTTTCAATTTCTTTCCAGAAAAAGAATAGTATGACTATGCAAAACAACTGCTCGTTTACAATTTATGAAGCACAATTATTTTAATGATAATCCAGAAGAGTGCAAACATTCTGAAGGACAATCTGGCAGAGTATAATTACATTAAGCACATGGATGCTCATCACCCAAAAATGGTCTTTTTGGGTATCTCTTAGTGGGCAGGTGGGAGTATCTGGTGAAATGGGCACTGGAAGTGTAGTAAATCTTCACAATGGAAATAATTGGCAGAGATCCAAAGAAACAGACCATACCAGGTGTTAATATCAGATGATGAAACCATCTTAACATCTTCGCCAGGTACAAAGAAGTGAAAAACTGATCTATAGGAAAATGTTACTTATGAAGATGCAGATAATCTGCACACAAAGTAACATTATGTATTTTACAAAGAGGTAACAGACATCGCAAATTAAAATAGTTCCCCACAGAGAAAAGAGGAGGAATAGGAAAAAAAAAAACTTTAAAATTTGCTGATTTAATAAATAAATGAATAAAAAAACCATATATGCATCATAGGGGACCTCGCATGAACCGAAACAGCTGGTGTGCTATAAAATGAGACCTGACATAGATGGGGTCAAAAAAAAAAAAAAAAAAAAGCTAACCTAAATAAGAATTTTGTATATATACACATATACATATATAAATTATTTGCAATTATTTTACAACTTTCCACACTGCTTTCATGAAAAGATTCTATATTAATATCATACCATATTTGAGCAATCATTCTTGGGAGACTTATTATCAGCAGCAACAACACAAAAAATTCAGCTGAACAGGCCATCTGCCTCAGACTGGCCAACCAGCAGACAACCACCACATCACATATTAATTACCCTTTCATTTTTAACCCAGGCAGTGTTAATATATGGAAAATACATAGATAGGTAGATGTAGTTTATTCTTTTTGCAAAAAATACTTTTATATATTTTATAATTTTGACCTATTTATGCATTAACTTAAAATGAAAAAAGAGAAGGAATGGAAGAGAGGAGGGGACAAATGGTATGGAAGGAGAGAATCCGCGGTAAAGGCAAAGAAATAGCATCTGACTAGCATCCTGCTAGTTGAAGGGACAAGGAGGCACATGTAGGAATTCCCAGGAATGAGGAACCAGGAGTTAGTGTAATGGCTATGTCGCTGGACTCCCACGTAGTTGACTGCGGTTCACGTCCCGGACCCATTGGCTTAAAACTCACACTGGGCGCACGTGCATGCGTGCCCAAGATCCAGAGAGGAGAATGGAGGAGAAGGGATTGCGGCATGATCATCCCCCCTGGGAGGTGATTTCTCGCTTTCTGTCTCTATGTCTCTCTCTGTCTGTCTGGCGAGCGCACACTCCCTATAGCGAAAATCTCTCCAAAAAAAAGAAAAAAAGAAAAAAAAGAAAAAGAAAGTCCCAGGAATGGAGATTATTCCTTTGAGGAGCTATTCTTACAAAAATATTTGTATTTTACCATTATGATTGTTATTTATGTTCTTTGTACTCATAGTTCAAACCAAACTTAAAGCGAAGTCTCAATATACAAAACATATAAAATGAGGCAGGCTCTGTCTACCTGCCCTTCTCCTCACAGTGTTCCAGCTCCCACTCTGTCAGTGCCCTTAGACATACTTGTAGGGACCCCTAAGTTTGCATGATCGACAGGTAAGTGATGAGTTTAAAATGACCTTCCTATCTCAACAAGAGTGTAAAAAGAAGCTCCATTAACTAGTACACTATTTCTAGAAATATACTGGAAGGTCTTCTGAATTTTATTAGAGATGGAGTTTGCGTTGGAAATTATTTATCTACATCTATATGTATCTATCTACATACACACACACACACATATATATATATACATACATACATACATATATATATATAGTATTTTTTCTTTTAACCAATAACTCTTAAAAACATATTTAAATAGAACTCTGTATGTGTGTGTGTATAATATTTAGCATATTTACTTTTTATTTTTAAAAAAGATTACTATAGGGCACAAGTGCTCACCAGAAAGGGAGAGGAGAGAAAGAGGGAAAATGTGAAAGAAGGCCCTAGAGGTATGTCTATGTTCCTTTTTCTTCTTCTCCATTCTCCTCTGGGGATTTTGGACACAATGCACATGTGTCCAAAGTGTTTTCCAAGCTCCGGGGTCTAAGACTCAAA